CTTATATAAAGTGTTTATCGCCCATTCCTTTTCCAACCCAGAATAAGTCCAATCCAGCACAGCAATAATCATTGAAAGCGTTCTTTATTCCTTACCCCTAACCGACACCAGGAATACTACTACTAAAATCAAACTCGACCGGCTTACTTTGGTCGACAGACCCTCGTAACCCAACACTTAAAATGCGGAGCTGTATGTAGTCTTGCGGTCAGGTCAGCAGTTTCTTCTGCTTGGGTCGTAATGCTGAGCAAGAGCTCAGCTCTGCTAACGCGTGCTGCTGAGGACTGTGCTGACTCTGAGAGGTCGTAGTTAACGCAATGGTGATGCTCGTAACCATCTGTCCACAGAATCATGGGTGTTCCCAGGAGCTTGGGGCAGATTTGCAAAGTTTTTTGCATTTCTGGAGTTTATATTCTCTTTCTCTCATTTATCACTTGAGAAATGGTAAGAAGAAGTAATTCATCGGTAGATAATTAACCTGTTTGCTGACTTGGTTTGACACCTGTGAGCTTTCTGCAAGAAATGGGTGGAAGGAATTAAAGAGAGAGCAAATCTGCTTATAGGGTATCAAGCGCTGGATAAAAAATGCCACAGCCCTCAAAATGCTGTGCTGAATCAGAGTTGCTCAGAAACTTTCGAAGGGGTAACTTGAGTCCGCAAAATTTATGCCAGCAGAGGTATCACCTCTCTGAGCCCCGATCTGATCAGCCTACCCTCAGACAGTCTACAGGGCGTAGGATTTATCTTGGATTCCATACCTTTACAGCACCTGATAAGGACAGATATCCCAATACGTGCCCACAGCTCTTGTAGGGGCAATTACAAAGATGACGGAGTCAAACGCCTTATCAGGGAGGCAGATGACAGAACAAGGGGCGATGACCACAGGTAGCAGCTTGGGATGTCCGGCGGGACATTAGGAAAAACCCTCCCCCAGGATGGTGATGCGCCCTGGAGCAGGTAACCCCGGGAGGTCATGTCTGCTCCATCCTGGAAGGTTTTTCAAGACTCAGCTGGACAGATTGCTGTCTGACCTGGTCCAGTGCTGGTGACACTCCTGCTCCAAGCGGGAAGCCGGCCTAGATGATCTCTGGGGGTCCCATCCAAGCAATGTTTCTATGGTTGTGTGCAATGCCCAGATCCCCTAGTACAATAAAGTAAAAATGCTACTAAGAATGATAACTTTAAAAAATGATAGCTAAAACACTGGAAAAATTGAGATTAAAATATGAAATTTTGAACATAGTTGCTCTGGTTCTGTTCTATTCTGTTCTTACTCCAGTATTGCTAAATCCACACATTATACCAGATCAGATCCAAAACCCATGAAGTTAGGTGAAAAAAAGTGCTCAGTGATTTTCACCTTCTTTCCGTTTCAGGGATATACTTGGGTTGCATTTTCAGTTTGTTTTTCCTACAACTCAGTGGGGAGAAGGGAAGAAGTAGGGGAACACAAAACTTTCTCCAAAAAAAGCAGCTGAAATTCTCGTACAGACATAAATTTCTGGGAACCAGACTTTTAAATAGTATTTCAAGCATCAGTATCTATGGGGAAATTCCCGATAGAAATGTGAGGGCTGATCATACCAGGATAAACCCAGTTTTTCCTTAACACCAAAGACAGGGAGAGGCGACAATCAGCCCCCATGCTCTAGGGTATAATATATCAGGGAACTAATGAGAAATCACCGAGCCCAGATGTTCTCAAAGCAAGAGCCTGTGCTGAGTTTCGCCTGTGTTACACCTCAGGATGGAGTGTGCAAACGCACCCCCTCCCGTACCTCCACCCTCGGCTCCTTAACGGGACATGTATACGGGGCAAAATACACGTGCTGGTGTGAGCGGTGCTGGTATCACTGAGGTTTGCCCGGACAACCATTTACCACTAAGCCTTCTGTTAAAAACAGAGATGTTGTCAGGCATGGCTGCACCATCGGGTATCTCCCCTAGATGTCCCTATTTAATACTTGATTTCAAGCCGGTTTTTCAGAGTTTTTGAAGTTTTGCCAGGGAGAGGACGCAAACCTTCACACTTGACACCACTTGGGTCACATCTTCTCTAGAACAAATTCATGGCGGGTGCCCGTGGTGCCGATACACTCGAATTCCTGCTACTGGGAGTTTTTAAAATATTTGTGTTTGGCTATTTTCACATGAGATGAACTGGGGGAAGAAGGAAACGTCCCTCTGTTGCCAAGGCAGTTTAGGATTATGTTTTTACACTGGGAGATGTGTCCCTCTGCTCGGCCCCCGGCAGCGCAGCCCCTGAGGCGAAGCACAGCCCGTGCGGGTGCTGTTGGCTCGCCCCGCTCCGTGTGCCAGGCTGCGCAGGCGGGAACACGACCGCAGCCGCTGAGGAGTTCCAGACCTTTCCTCCCGGGCCTTCGATGTTACTTGTGTTTAATACAAGTCGTACCACCGTCCTCTGGTGCTCCGGCCCTCCTGCTGTGTGCTGGGGGCGTGGGGGGGTGGCAAGGAGATACGCGACTCCCCGCCTCGCTCAGGGGG